GCTTCCTTCTAATCAACAACATTTTGGTGGTTTTCTGGCCACTTCTGCATTCTCATTTTCTCTAATTCTCTTTATCTGTACCTTCTGGTCTGGTTTGAGAAGTGGTCTTTGGTAACAAAACTTGTTCCTCTTACCCGAAGGGGCTGCCCCTGCCTCTGCACGTTTGCTAATGAACTAGGAGAATACTTTCCTCTGTTTGAAAGTTGGATGGAGCTCCATGGAGCTTCATTGCTGCTGTTCACTGGAATGCCGTGTGGAAATGTTCTTGTGGCATTTTACTGGGAGGTATGAAAAACACAGTCTTATGACATTTGGAACAGGGTTGGCATTTATTCCACAATATTGCCCTGTAGAGTCTAGGAAGGTTTGCATACCACAGAATCTCTTTCATTTAAAACTACATTTATGGTTACAGATAAACCTTACAGTCCTCATAAAGGAAATTCAGGTACTATGATCATTTTTTTAAGATTTTAAAATTATAACAGCAGTTGATTCTGAAGTGCTCCCTTCCCATACTGGGGGTAGGACAGGACTGGTGCATGCCTAGCAAGCATCCTCCTCCAGGTACACCACAGGGTCTCAAGATTCACTTCCTGCTTTTTTATTAAGATTTACATTTGGGTATGATGACTTACTTTAAAGGAAGAAATAATTGCTTTCATAATACTGAATTTTTATTCCCCTGTCTCCTCAGTGCTCTAAATCAGCCAACCCACCCCCTTAATTTTTCCACCTACTTTCCTCTTATGTCCTAAATCTTAATATTTCTCTCTGCAAGAAAGTGACAGCAATGGACAACTGTAGCTATTTCAGATATTTAATCATTGCTGATATTTTGAAATTCCAATTTGTTCTAGTAGTTAGTTAGACCACACTTTTTTTGTTTGTTTGGTTTTTGTCTGTTTTTCAAGACAGGGTTTCTCACAATTGCTTTGGATCCTGTCCTGGAACTCACTCTGTAGACCAGACTGGCTTCAAACTCACAGAGATCCGCCTGCCTTGCCTCCCAAGTACTGGGATTAAAGGCATGCGCCACCAGAGCCTGGCTAGACCACACTTTTATTGCATGTATTTGTGTTGTGTGTGCCACAGTAAGGATATGGAGGTCAGAGGACAATTCCAGAAGTTGGTTCCCTCCTTCCTGGATTGAACTCAGGTTGTCAGGCTTAACAGATAACACTGATTGTGACTAACTTTTTAATTGTTCCATTATTTTGTGGTTTTGTATTTTGAGACAGAGTCTCACTGTGTAACCCAAGCTGGTCTGGAACTCACTGTGTAGCTCAAGCTAACCTTGAAATTGTGACAGTCTTCCTTCCTCAGCCTCCTGAGTGCTAGGATTACAATTGTAAGCTATCATACCCAGGAGTTGCTACTCTTTATTATATAGCAGCTGGAATAAAGTTCTTTGTGTCTGTATAAAAACAGAGCTGAATTTTGTTATCGAAAAGGTGATCAACAAAGAAAAATCTCTTTTGAAAACTTCACCTCTTTGTTTTGAAATAGTTGTTGATTACTAGCAGTTGTAAGGAATGGTTCCAAGAAACTCCATGGACCTCACCTGCTTTTCATGAGAGTAAAGTCCTGCAAAGCTGACGCAGCCAGGATGCCAACATTGACAACATATAATGTGGATCTTTTCCGCTATCACAGACATCCCTCCTTGTGACACTTTCTAGTGACACCCACGTCTCTGTCGATCACTACCACATCCCTGACTTCTAGCTGTTCTAAACTGGACTGTTCTCCATTCTAGAATTTTGTTATTTCAAAATCCTCATATAGATGGACCCATCTAGTGTGTAACCTTCTCCAACTGGTTTTTTTCATAATGGGCACAATTCCTCAAGATCCATCCAAGTTTCTAAACTAAAGCTATATGTTATTTTGGCTGCTGACTAATTAGCCTTTAGTATAGATGACCACTGTTTGTTTAACCATTTGACTGCTGAAGAACTTCTGGGCTGTTTCCAGCTCTGGCTACTACAAGTAATGCATGAGCATCATGGCCAGATAATGGCATGTGCTTCTTTCTCCATCGTGAATGCCTAGAGTGCCTGATGGGCTAGTTATGTGTTTAAGAAAATGTGTTTTGCATTTCCTTTTTAAAACTTCATATTTATTGCTATTCTTGTGTGTGTGTATGGTACACCTGCAATAGCTACTCCTGTGAAGGTCAGGAGTTGGTTTCCCTCCTATGAAGCTGCCAGATGTAACGATTACCTAATTTGTTCTGGTATAATAAAAATTCAGGAGTCAGAAATCGAGATAAAGACCTGAAAAATCCAAGGGAAGGAGAGCAATTGGCTGACCCTCTCTCCACGTTTTTCATGAACCATCAGCAGCAGAAACTCCCCAGAACTCCTCCTCCTCACTTCCTGTCCTCTCTGGAGATGGTGTGTGGGGCTCCTAAATCCTCCAAGAACTTTATGGCTAATCCCAGTCAGCTCATCACTAACACTGTCCTTTGATTTGAGGTTGTTTTATTGACCCAGTGGATTGGCTGTAGCAGCAATTCTCCTGCAACACCCCTACCATGGATTTGGAGTATCAAACTCAGGTCCTTAGCAAATTTATTTATCTTTCACCCGCTGAGCCATCTCCTTGTCCCTGTTTTACATTTCCATCACAGTGTGAGTTTCTTCATTTTTGCTAGCATTTCCTGTTGTCTTTAGTTTTCATTTGAGCTATTTTGGTGGATCTATCAGAATGAATAATATGCATGTTATGGTGCTTTTACCTTACACTTCCTGAAGGTAATGATGTTCCTGTTTTAACAATATGGCCTCTTTAGAGAAGTATCTTTTCATGTCTTCACCCTTTAAGTCTAGATACTGGTCTTTTGTCATAGATGTGGCTTACAGTATTTTTCCCCTACTCTGTCCTATCTCTTCATCTTATTGACAGAATCTTTTTAAAAATAAAAGTTGTTTGGTTTTGGTTTCAGGGTTTTTATTTGTTTGTTTGGCTGTTTAGATTTTTTAAATTTATTTATTTTAGTGTGTATTGTGCTTGCCTACCTGTTTGGCTGTGCACCATGTATATACAGGGCCCACAGGGGTGGACGTCAGATTCTCTAGGACTGGAGCTACAGGTGGTTGTGAGCCACCATGTAGGTGCTGGAAATTGAACCCAGGTCCTTTGGAAAAGCAATCAGTGCTTTGAACTGCTGAGTCATCTCTCTAGCCCCTGGTTGTTTGTTTGTTTTTGTGTGTGTTCTTTTGAGACAGGGTCTCTCTTGTGTGTCCTGGCTGTCCTGGAACTCACTTTATAGACCAGGCTGGAACTCACAGAGATCTGCCTGCCTTTGCCTCCCAAGTGCTAGGATTAAAGACATGTGCAAACACCACCTGGCTGAAGCACACTTCTAAAGTAATTGCTCACTCTAATAGGTATTTATTAAGTACATACTATATTCCAGTCATTCATATATATATGGGCCCTGTATCCTTTAGAGCTAACAATACAAGGAGGAAGTTAGAAACAAAGCTCATTCCTTTCAGTGCACTATCTTATGTATTGGGAATCAGTTTAAGATGATGGCTGAGAACTGAGACCTTGAAGTCCATCAAGTGAGGATAGAATCCTGACTGTTCCACATTCCATGCCCTCAGTTTCCTTTTTTATAGTGTGCCTCTCATAAGTTTGCTGTGGAGATTGAATAGTACATCCAAAGCTGTTGGACATAAGTTCCTGGTACAGATTTGGTACTCCAAAAGGTTTGCAGCTCTGGCAGGAGATGGAGGTTAGAGGTAGTCAGGTAGAGGAGGGCCCAGTTATTGTAGGCAATGGGTGTTACTAAACTATAGTAATGACATTTATCTCAAAGGAGAATATCTTGAATTGAGTCTTTAAAAAATGAACTTTGGATCAGCATGTAGGACACAAGAACCAGACACTCATCTGGGGAGGGGGGTGGGATATCCTGAATTGAATCTTGAAAAATGGATTGTAGAATACCATGTAGGATACAAGAACATGACCCAGAGCTGTGCAAACACTGAAGACTGTGAGCATACATCACGTTCTCAGTTGGGAACAATAGGACCTGATGCAGGAATGCAAAGCAATAGGCAGGGGCCATGTAATGGAAGGGACTGGACTTTTCTAAGCATAAGGGAGATACTGAGGAACTTAAGGGAAGAGACTAGTATCCATTTCTTGGTAGCTGATTTTGCAGAGTGAAGATGCTTTGAAGGGGACACAGTAACTGTCAGAGCTTTTGGTAGTCAGTTGAAAGACAAAGAGCCAAAGAGCGGGATAATTGGTGTTGTTCATGCTCCCTCTTTTTATATGTGAAACATGGGTCCAGTTTGTGGATTCTTTTATGAAATGAGGTTCAACCTAGGTTGTAGGATGTGTGCAGACTCAAAAGCCCAGTCCAAGATTGGCAGTAGTTCCTCTAACTCAGGCAATTAGAACTGAAAGTCTCTTCTCCTCCTCTAGGCTATGTTTGATTCACATAAGTAAGACATATACATACAAGTTACATATTATATAGAGGAAACTTGAATTTTAATCTTACATCCTATTTTTTAAAAGTTTTAAAGGCCTCAAGGTAAAAGAATAGATAAACTGAAGGGATAATATTATCCAGAGTTAGATGTTAAGAGAAAGAATTTGACTCTCACGTTTTATTTATTCTTAACTTCTGTTCTTCTATTTTCTCTCATTTATAAGGGTTTAAAAATATCAGTTACTAAAAGGAGAAGTATAAAAAAAATCAGTTCTTGCTGCTGCTTTGTACCCCTCTGTGCCTTTGTATTTCCAGTTGTGCAAGTGGACTTCAGTTTGCCAATTTTCCCACCATACACACTGGGTGAAGAGTTGCACCCATTTAGTGGACTTTGTGAAGACAAATGAAAAGAATAAATTACTGGTCCAGTATTTTCTATAGGATGACACTATCTCTATGACAGCGTGTGTTTGTATTCCACTTGCCATACAGTTTATCCATTTAAAGCATATCATTTAATGGTGTCATGTTTCTTTAACAGGGAAAAAAAGATGTGACCCAGATATTCAACAACATCCTGAGAAGACAGATCGGTGCACGGAGTCCTACTGTGGAGTACATCAGTTCTCACCCTCATATCCTGTCTATGCTTCTCAAAGGGTGGGTACCTGGCTTCCTTAGGAGTAGCTGTTAGAAAGTATGCAGTGTACCTCCTTGGCCCCATTTGGAACTGCAGGCTTAGTGTCTGCAATGTAAGAGCAGCTCTCCAGATGGCTTAAGCCTAAAGGAAGTTCTTCCTTTGTGCTCTGATCTCCTCGGTGTTTCTTTTTCCTACCTCTTTTCTCTGCCTTTTTTCTGTCCATGTCTCTTTCTATTATATTTATTTTGCTTCCTCATCTTCCCTGTTCCTAACTGCCCAGTTTCTATTTTTCTGCTTGCATAATGTTATGTCCCATCATCACACACTCATATGCATTCAAGCACACACACACACACACACACACACACACTAGCTCTCCAACTCAAACAGTTGGGTTAAGCATTCCTGCAGAAGCTAACATGTCAAGGTGGAGATAAATTATCCCTGTGGGGATACAATAAATGTTTCTAAGTTTATACAGAGCTATAAAGAAAAATAAGCCTGAATTCTGGTTAGAAAATAGAATCCCCTGTTACTGCTTTTTAAGTCTACTCCCACATGTGTCTTGAGCATATTGAGGGTACCCTGAGTCCTGAGTTGGGTGCTCTAGGTGATGTGAGGCATGCAGACAGCAGGGGATGATCCTCCCCTGCACTGCGTTTCCGTCCCTGCTCCAGATCTCAAGCCAACACAGCTCATTTTACTGCATAGTATTCTTGTTTCCAATGCTGTGGGGCCACATGAAGTCTATTTCACCTGTGTCACATTCCTCCCTTGTCAATTGATAAATATTTAATTGTATTAAAGTGATATGTAACACAGTTTGAAGTCAGCTGTATCAACAAACAGAAGCTCTTTGTTTTTTCTCCATCTCTATGTCCCTTTCCCCTGTGATAGCCATTCTTTGTTTCAGTTTTAAAAATCATAATTTACTGCTGTGTTACAAGTAATTCTTAGCTTTTGAATTGGTGGGCACTAGTGGTCTGTTAAGTTAATAGATCCCAAATGGTTTTTAATCTATTAATCACAAGGTATTCTGACAGAGGTAGCCAAGGAAATGAGTGTTTAGGGGCTAAATCCAGCCCCAAGATAGGGCTTGAACCTGCAAGATAGAAGCCCCTCTGCATCACTGCAATTCTCATCAGTCAGTCAGTTCTGCAGACACTGCTTCTTTCCAGGGATTCTCACTCACTAGGGCAATTCAGACATGAGCGGAGAGCGGGATTAATTTTTGGTGCTTCTGAGAACAGGGCAGATAAGGAGACTCACTGGCTGGAGTAGCTCTGCCTCATCCAGCATAGCAAGGAGGACTTCACGTACTCCTCTGTTGTTACTAAATTATCTTTTGTGAAGGTCTTTGAAAATTGAGGCTATGGTCCATTTGTACATCAAACAATGGCATTAGTTAGGGGCTCAATGGTGACATGCTATACTGAACACAAGTTCAGCCACAAGGAATGTCACACAGAAAGAAACTTATACTTGTATAACAAGAATATCTGTATGCAATGCAAAAGGAATTTAGAGTCCACACTTTATGAAAAAGGACTTTTTAAAGGATCATTTCATTCTAAATTCATTTCTCTCCTGGCTGAGACAGATGCCATTCCAGCTGAGGATGAGGTCATTAAACTTCTCTCAGTGTTCCAGAAAGAAATCATAGCTATGAAATGATTTATCTAATGTTAAAACCACAATGTCTCCCCAAATCTTCCTTTTAAGTTCATTGGAAATTTTTTCAACCATCTACAAAAGTAGCAAATGCAAGAGCTCATGTACCTATCAGCCACCACTATTTAGCTAGGTGTGCGCCATCTCTCCCCCTGTACAGCATCCAACCCTTTCTAATTGAGGAATTTTAAAGCAATTCCCTAAACACTTCGATAAGCATCTTTAAAAGAAAGGTAATTTCATTTAACCACAGTATATTTAAAGGTTAATAAAAATTCTGTAACAACCAATACCCAGCCTACATCAATTTTCCTTGTATTGTTTTTTTTTCCCTACACTCCACATATTGAAAAGGTATCCTAACAAGGTCTACTTATTGTATTTGGTTGTGATCTTTTTTCTTAGCCAAAAATTTTGAAGTCCCTCTCATCAGCACCTCATCCATCCACATATTTCTGTGTTATGAGTCTGTTGAAAAGTGATTTGTCATGCACAATGTCACACTGCTTTCTCATAGAATAATTCAAATTGATATATGATCTGGCATGGGGGTGGCCAGCAGGTAAAAGCGCTTGCTGTTCAAGCCAGACACTAAACCCTGGAACCTACTCTCAAAAGTTGTTCTTTGGCTTCTATGCATAGCCCATGTATTGCCCCTCCCCATAATATTAAATTAAATGAGTTTTTAAAATAATAGTAAATCTTTCTATTATTACCTGTTTCTAGGCTAGAGTTTCTATTTAAAGACTTGATTGGATTCAAATTAAGTTTTTATTTTGGCAGAAGTATTTTACAGGGAGTTGCTTGTAGTCAGTATTCCCACCACATCAGTAGACATAGCTTTAGAGATGCTGAGGCTGAATCCTAGTCTCAGATGGTAGCATCTAATTAATTATAAAGCTTTCAGTCATCCTTACATTGAACTTTTTTATCAACCAGTGATAAGCTTTGTCTGAGCTTGTCATTTTGTTAGGGATAACAGAAAGATAATTTTCAAAATCAGCCCTTTGTTTGTTAGCTTTCTAAAAAATAACGTCCATCCAGTATGACTGTTATTTTCAAATAGAATTACTATCATAGAGGCAGAATGAATCCCTGTTTTCATTTTCAGCTTGGATACATTATTGTCCTAGAAACTTGCACTAGTGTCAGTGACTTTTTCCTCTCATTCCTCTCTCCCTGTCTGCATCTGTCTCTGTCTCCAATTCCTCTCTCACACATAAGCATACCTATATCTTCTTCACTAACTGATGAAATATTCCCACATAGCTCATGTATTGTGCACAATTTTCTTAACATTCAATTAACTGTGGCCTTTTCTGGACATAGTCTTTAACCTTACCAAAACACTTTGCTTTCTGATGCAAGATCTACGAGACCCAACTTCACATCCCCAGGCATAGATCTGGACCCCAGTTCTTTCGATGAGGAATAGTTCTTGGGGAACTTAGTCTGGACTCTTGGTTCTTACTCACACTTGATTGTTACCATTCCTAACCTTTCACAGTAGACTCAGTTAATTCATTATTTTTAAATCATGCAAATGCTTCCCAATTAGGAGCAGATCTTCTTGATTATTGAGTAGGTAAAGTGTTCAGTAAATGGCATTTTATGAGATGTTTTCCAACAGCTATCACATGGCATCATTTGTTCCCAACAGTAACAACAAGTCATTTTCTTTCATATAATACAGTCTTTGTTCTTGAGATGTTCTTACACAAGATCTTTTTTCTGGCACTTTCTGTGTAATGATCACTGCACTCATTACCAGTTGAAACATTTGATCTTTTTTTCTTTTTTTATTTAAATAACACTTTTTAGTCTTTAAAATTGTTGTATGTTTATATAAAATATTTTTATCATATCGGTTAATGTCTTTTTGATATTAATGACCCATGACATAGGAAAAAAAATCACACCTTGAGTCCAGTTAATGCTGTCCACATGCACACAGGTGTGGAACCATGCACTAAGGTATGAGCAAACTATTAGTGGTTAATCCCCAAAAGAGAGTGACTCTCATTCCTTCAGTAATTATGAATTGCTATTAGCTCCTTTGCCAAAGGTGGGGCCTCCAAGTAAAATTTTTACAGGCTTGATCATATGCAGATATTATACAGATAACCACAGGTCCTGTGAATTGATTTGTCATGTCTGGAAATCTGTACTTCACAGCTTTCCTCCTGATCTTTCACCTCCTATATTCTCTCTGGCCACTCTCTCACTGTGTTCTCTGCACCTTGGATGGAAGTTGAAGAATCAATATAGACTATTCAGCCACAGCTTGGTACCTTGGTACCTTGACCACATGTAAGACTCTGTAATCACTGCTGTGCACTGCAAAAGTGACATCTCTAAGTAAAGTTGAGAACAACACAAATGTATGAATATAAACAAACATTTAGAAGGCACTTTAACCAAACGAGCATTTAATAACAATAGTAAGTGTCCCCCATAGAGCCTATGATCTCCCCAGCCATAGGCTTTTGACCAGTTTTACAATATCAGTCCTTGAAATCCATCCTATGAGACAGACCTCATATCTAATTTTTAAAAAAAAAAAAAGTTTTGTTACTTCCATAACCATCATACCACTGTTTCACCAATGGGCAATCTTGCCAGCTAGGTTATTACTATAGCATACAGGATCCAGTGGTGCGTGAGACTATTGGTGTCTTTTCTCCTTCAGCAGTGTTCAGAGTATCCCCCTGTACCTTCAACAGTCAGTCCAGGTTGGTTTCTTTAAAGACATTTGCTCTTACATTGTGCTTTAAGGATCTTCTGATACGCTGCCATTACTTTTTTTAATGAACATGCATACTGACACAACTGGTAGGGTTCAGACTGTGTTGTCTAAACTGTAAATCAGGGGGGAAATATGATTCAGTTTTATAAAATAGTGACTAATTTTACTGGTGATCTGCCCTAGGCTAGCCATTGTGGCATGATTAGTCACAGGTCCTGTTACCAGGAAACTTATCTAGGAGTAGAAAAGATTAGGTAGGATAAAGACTAATTTTGAAACTTAAGACAGGCTTAGCATGTGGGACACTTCTTTATATAGTAAGCAATAACTTACAAATCCAGAATTGTCAGGTTGAAATGATGAGTGTGAGTTATAGACCCCAAAAAGGGTATTGGGGAAAATCACTAAATTCCCAGACTTCCTATTGTGTTCCTTACTTTAAGAAGTGCTGTGTCAGAGAATGCCATTTTCCACTGTTAGGAACAAACTGCTGGGATGAATTGATGAGTGTTCTCCCCAAGAGTACTTTATAAATGTTCTCTTGGTTCTCAAAAATAAACCGTCAGTGCATCGCAGATGGTTCCAATAAACCTCATGAAAGGAAAAATAGAACTAATTATACCCAAAACTTAGAGTGGAAACTTTTTATAGATGGTCTCAGCTTGGAAACTAAATTCAGGAATGAGAGCTGTTGGCTGGAGATCATTCGGCCTTTGTATAAGCCAGTTTGAGTCTCATTAGAGTTCTGGTATGGGTAGGTCCAGTTTGAGTTTGAGGTTCATTGGATTCATCATATGCCTACAATGAAAAAGCATGCTAGGCACTAGAGTTCATGGGGAAGTGGGAAAAGTATCAACAAACAGGACATAGACACCTACTGGGGACTGGGAGGAATAGGGAAAGGGAAATGTAAAAGGATGAGTGCGACACATTCCCAGAAAGTAAATTCTTTGAATTGAAGTGATCGAAACTGACTTGTGACTTAATACAGTGGGACATGATACTACACAATGAGAAAAATGCCCATGTAAGGTTAGGGACAGCTATGTGGGAGTGCAAAGGAGGAAGACTTAAGATGGACATTGAATTAAGTGCTGAAAGATGCACTGGTGGTGCCAAGTGTATGAGGGACATTCCATCCGAGAGAACTTTGTCCTCTAAGGACTGAGATGGGATATAAAACTGGTGGCCTCAAGCCAGATCCTAAACAGTCACAGATATCTTACCGTGAGTGTAGATTTTAATTAGTCCTGGATACTGTGTTTGTCTAGTTCTGTTCTTTCTTTAGGACAGTGCTTCTCAACTTGTGGGTCACTACCCCCTTGGGGTCACATATCAGATGTTTACATTACAATTTATAACAGTAGCAAAATTACAGTTATGAAGTAGCAATGAAGTAGTTTTATAGTTGGGGGTCACTACAACATGAGGAACTGTATTAAAGTGTTGCAGCATTAGGAAGATTGAGAGCCACTGGTCCAGGCCAATAGCCTTTATTTTATAGTCTCTTTAATTCTCTTAACTTATAGTAAAATAAGTGTAATTAGTGGTTTTTTCCTTGGCATCCCATATTATATCTAACAGCAGTGAATTCCAGTAGGCTGATTTCCAAATTCCTTTTGTAAGAGATTGCTAATATAAATTGGCATTCCCTATATTCTAAAGAGAATTATGTCTATCTGAATATATTGGCATTCTGTGCTATTGTGAGTTACTAAGGGAATACTAAAATAGTACTGAATAGTTGTTATCATTTAGCATAAATAAAAATAAATCAGTACCACCCTGATCTGTCTTTGCAATTTTCTTTACTGTTTCTTTGTCAATTTGAATATTGTAAAATAGCCTACTTCCTAAAGTGTAGGAAAGGGAATTTTATTTTTGCATATGAATTTCATACAAATAATATGGTCATATGAAAAAGTACATTGTTCTTTATTACTTAACAAAATGTTATCGTTAGTAGTTGGTAAGTTTTCATAAACTATCTTAAAGTTGTGGTTTTTAGCATGTAATTGTCATTATGTGTATAAATGCATCTGTGTATGGGAAAGTGCACAAGTGCAGCACATATGGATGTCAGCAGTATTGTATTTCCCGGAGTTGGAGTTGCCCACTGGTTGTGAGTCACCTGGCAGGGAGCTGGAACCCAAACTCAGACCCTCTGCAAGTGCACTATGTGCTTTTAACCACTGAACCAGCTCTCCAGCCTCTAAAAGTTTCATTTAATAATTATTTAGTTTTGGTTTTCAGACACATGATTGTTTTATTTTATTTATTAAAAATGCAGTCTTTGTCACAAAATTAATTTATGTTGGTATTTTTCTTTTTAAGGTTTTTAAAATAAACTTTATTATAAAAACACAATTAAATTTACAAAAAAAATCACACACCAAAATAAACCAGACCCAAAGTCTATACAGTTTAATTAACTCATACACAGAGTTGGCATTCAAAATGGAAGTGGTGAAGCTTCACCTTAAATTTTACACTTTTCTGTATCAAATATAATTTATGACCTTAATCCACCACAAAAAAACAAACATCCATGGCAAAATCAAGAGCTAAGAGAACAATAAGCTGATACTCCCTTTCATAACTAACTCATGGTACATTTTGAAAGATATGCTAGTTCCTTTGTGGGTGTCACACAATCCTGCTCTCAGAGAACACTGCACTAGCCTGCCTTTTCAAGATCTGAGACATTTAGAGGTGCTCTTTTCCATAGGCCTTCTACTGAAACCACAGTTCTCAGTGCATATTTAATTGAAGTGGAAAACGATCAATCTGTGTAAAGCTGTGATAGAATCTTCTTGTTTTGACTTTGCTTCTCCACATTCTACAACTGCAGCTGCCTCTGCTTTGTCTCCCTGCACTTGCCACACACTTGTCCATTGTATCATTCAATACAGAAATTGTCTTATTTGGACTGTTACCCATTTTCTTGAAATGTTACCACACAATGAAATGTGACTCAGTCCTGTGTTCTTTCAGATGCTGAATTTAACATTCGAAAGACATGTTATTTGGAAATGGAACAGATTCAGTGTGCTAATCTTTCTCTGTTTCTTCAGTGGCTACCATATTCTCTAGTGTACCAGTGAGCCAGTCAGTAGGCAGTCCTCTACTGTTCATCTATTGCTTACAAGCCATATTATATCTAATTCCCTCCTGTCTTTTTCTTTAACTCAAGATGGGTACTCTGATGGCCAAGGGTTCATCACTGCTTAGGTATTAGCATCTCCAATCGAATGTTGATGGTCAGTGACAATTTCTTAACCTCTTCACTGACTCCTTTCTCTATCGGTTAATGCATGGTAACACCATCCACCCAATTAAGCCAAAAGCACAGGAATCATTGTTGAATCTTCAACTTGGATTTATTCCTCATCATCCCCACCTCCAGTATCTCTAAATCTTGTTGGCTCTTCTTTTAGAAAGCATCAGCATCTACCTACCACAGTCTGGTGTCCTACTTCTGCCACCGTACCAAGCTGTCATTATTGTCGATAGGCATCCGTTCTTTCCTTCACCTGCTCACCAGCTTCCACTCTAGCTGTCCAGTCTACTCCTTATTCCCAAGTAACCAGGGTCTTTTTTTTTTAATTTTTGGTGGTTCTGGGATTCAAACCCAAGGGCTTCTAACATGCTAGACAATTGGTCTATCACTGGACTACACACCACCCCGAGAGCCTTGTACATAAAACATAAATTAGGATGTGTTAATTTCTTGCTTTAAACTCTCCATCACACTTAAAACCAAACTGTTTACCTTAGCTTGCAAATGTACATGTGATTTGGTCCTGCCCTGCCCTCTTGTGACCCCTATTCCCTGCTTCCTGCATCCCACCACGCTGGCCACATTTCCTCTCCTCTGACTCGCCAAGCTTGTTCTTGCCTTGAAGGTTCTTTCCTCTCCTTCAGTATAAATTAAAATACTCCCTTGTACTCTCACAGGCACACACATAAGTAGTCAACTCTAGATCACTCAGTTTACCGCCTTCAGTTTTCACAGCACTTCAGAGTATAGGAAATGACCTTTACATTGTTTCTATTCTGCTTCTTCCTCCCAATAAGCACACCCTCACTAAAATGCTAAGGCTGCAATGACAGTGACCTCCCTGTTTGCTCTTGTGTCCCCAACATCTGGAATGGTGCCCAGCACATAGCAGTGGGTTGAATGAATGGTGTTTGAATGAACTGTGACAAATGCCATCTGTGTTTCTGTTATCAGCAGAACTGAACTGGTTCTTCTGATGCCATTGATAGATTTTGTTAGTGGGATAACTGTTCTGATTTCTCTCTTGTTTGTGCTTTAGATATGAAGCCCCGCAGATTGCCTTACGCTGTGGGATTATGCTAAGAGAATGTATTCGACATGAACCACTTGCCAAAATCATCCTCTTTTCTAATCAGTTCAGAGATTTCTTCAAGTATGTGGAGTTGTCGACATTTGATATCGCTTCAGATGCCTTTGCTACTTTTAAGGTAAAAATTCTCCCCTAAGTCAGACAGATTATTTGGTTCAAGTGGCTTGACCTTCAGAAGCACTTCTACTCCTTAGACCTAAATGTAGCCGCCATGGGTGAGGTGAGGCCAGCCTTTCACATTGCAGAAAGAAAGTACTTATACAAGTTCAGTGGAAAGGCTTCTGACATGTCCAGTGAAGAGACAGAAGGAATATGTTACCATGTGTTAGTACTGCTGCACATTAACAGTGGGTTAAGGTGATAAGCCACCACTTCAGGCACATGTGCAGGGTGGCTCTGGAAGGGTTTGTGAAAACCAGCAATAGAGGCAACCACCAGGGCGGAACTGGGCGAGGGAAGGAGATGGACAGCAGCACCATGGAGTATGAAGACATCAAGTCACTATATCTGTGTGGCTTTCACACTGCATGGGGGGGGTAAACAAAATATTAATAAGCGTATTAGTATTTTGACATGATCAGTCATCTATGTGTCATCTATGTTTTATTTTGACAGTATAATTATGTTTTTATCTGTTGTCTCTTTTGTCATTTTGTAGATATATTTCACCTAACTTAGTTTTTAACTTAAAAATGTTTTAGTCATGACATAATATGCATTCCTTCTTAGCCAATATTTATGCATACTTAATGTGGCTAAGTCTTCAAGTGTCCTTCTCCAGAAGCTTTTCATCTTGCAGGATTAAAACTCTGTCCCACTTAACCTCCCCTTTTCTCATCCCTCCAGTCCCCAACAATGATTCCACTTTCTGTTCTATGTGTTTTACCATCAGGAGTTCAGAGAGCATGTCAGAAAATAGTATAGGTAATTTGCAAATGAAGCTACTAGAATTTATAGATCCAATGAGTCATTCACCTTCAAGGATTTCATTTTAGAAAGTCATCCATTTATAGTTATGATCCTGTCATTATTTAATTCATTTGAAATTGACATCAATGGCAGTTGCATATTTAATTTTTCAATAATGGAAAACCTTTGTCCTTCAAGGCAGCTAAAAGTTTTGGAAATGAGCAGAGAGAATAGTTCAGCAGCCAAGAGTACTTGCCACCAAGCTTAATGACCCTGAAACCCACGTAGTAAAAGGAAAGAACCAACTCCCATATGTTATCTTCTGACCTCTATACAAGTATGCTTGGGGCATACACCAACACATAAAATAAATAAGAAAAAATAATTTTTTTAATTTGAAGAACAAAAATCTATTTGACACCCAAGTTGGAGTACAAGGCAAATGATTTGCTAAGCTACAACTGTTTCTGTCTTGATGAACTTAGAGTTTACAGTTAGAACGACTGGCTGATAAACAGTCTTTTAAATAATAATTCTTTAGAGCTGGAGAAAGGGGAGAACAGTGGTTTTCAGTTCTGGAAACTGTTATCTGCACCTTAAGAACCTGCTTAGCCTATTCTGAGAATGCTAGAAGAAAACAAACAAACAAACAAACAAAAAAACCCAGTATGTTTGTTCAAAAGCCTAAATAGGGGAAAGTGTCAGAAAATGGAAAGAGTGCAGAAATGGCTACAGACTGGGGTGAAAAAGACAGAAGAAGGGACTAAAGAAAAGGCAAGTTGCTGTAGGAAAGGGATTGAGGCTGGGGTAGAGAGGAGATTGGCGGTAGACTGTGATAATGGAAGAGTGGTGAGCAAAGTCAAAGTATCGTCAAGGAGAAGGCAAGTCTGAGCAGCTACCTGGGACCTAAGACATCCCTGGGAATGTAATGAAATGATGGAAACTGAACTGACAAGAACTATCAGACAAAGACAGATTAAAGATGATCGAAGTATTAGGTGGTCACAAACAGTAGCTATGTTGAATCTCCGGAAGCTGTGGAAGAAGGAAACTGTATATATAGGCTGGCCTGCAGTAAACAACATGGGGCTTGAAGGCAGGGCCAGCACAGCCCATTACAGTATTTAACTTGTCTCAACTAGCCTGCCTGAACAGGAAGTCTGTCAAGACTGAGGATGTGGGGCAGGAGTCTGTTTCAGAAAAAAATCAAGTCTAGTGCATGAGAATCAGTGGAAAATGACAAAACAAAACAGCAGACAGACTCAGAACTACACAAAGTACAGCTTATTGGAAACTCATGGACAGAAGCAAGTCTTGGGCAGCAGGGAGAGAGAATTCTTGTACCCCAGGCAGGAGGAAGGGGTTCATATGTAAGCTGGGCAAAGGTGAGCTGTGAGCAACTGAAGTGTACTTGACCGTTCTCAAAAACCATTAGCTGGATTTATGTTGAGATCTTTGATCCATTTTGACTTGAGTTTTGTGCAAGGCAATAGGCTTGGGTTTTGTTCAAATGACTGCAGAACCTGGAAAAGCTGTTGCTGCTATTGATGCAAAACATATTGCCATTATTGCTCTTTTTATATAAATATAAATATATATAAGCTAATTGAAACTCAAATATGTGATGAATCCAAGGTGTTTCAGTGAGTGCTCAACTGTGCGTGCAAATTTGATTTCATCTTTAGTAAGTAGTAAAGTTATATGCTTGGGTGCCCTTGTGTTTGGCGGATACATGTTTTTTTAAAAATGCAGTATTCTCTCTATAGGATTTTCTTTGAATATCTAGTATCCTTCCATATCTCTTGTGATTAGTTTTGTTTTGAAGACTATTTTGTTAGCTTGGAATATCTTTTTCCATCTTTTTGTCCTGAGGTGATGTCTATCCTTGATGTTAAGGTGTGTTCCTTGGATACAGCAGAGAGATGGTCCTGTTTTTCCATCCATTCTGTTAGTTTGTGTATTTTACTTGGAGAATTGAGACTATTGATGTTGAGAGTTACCAATGAGCAGTGTTTGTTAATTCCTGTTATTTTGTTGTTCTGGTGTGGATTTTGATTTGCTAGTCTGAGGTTATTCATTCCTTGCATTTTCTTAGGTGTTGTTAACCACTTCAGATTGATTGTTTCCTTCTAGCAGCTTCTATAGGGCTGGATTTGTAGATAGATTCTGCTTAAATTTGGTTTCATTATGGAATGTCTTTCTTTTTGTTTTTGTTTGTTTTGTTTTGTTGGTTTTTGTTGTTTTTGTTTTTTTTTTTTTTTAAGACAGGGTTTCTCTGTGGCTTTGGAGGGTGTCCTGGAACTAGCTCTTGTAGACCAGGCTGGTCTCGAACCCACAGAGATCTGCCTGCCTCTGCCTCCCAAGTGCTGGGACTAAAGGCATACGCCACCAATGCCCGGCTCTGGAATGTCTTTCTTTGTCTATTGTGAGTGAAAGTTTTGCCGGGTATAATAGTCCAGACTGGCATCTGTGGTCTCTTAGAGTCTGTAGAAAGTCTTTCTTGGCCCTTCTGGTTTTAGAGTTTCCATTGAAAAGTTAGGAGTTATTATATATATAAAAAAATGTTTTTGCCCACACACACACACACACACACACACACACATATATATATATATATATATATATATATTACTAGATTTTTTCCCCCAGCAGTTTTTAATAGTCTTACTTTGTGTATTCAGTATTTTCATTATTATGTGCTGAGGGGAATTTCTTTTCTGGTCTAGTCTATTTGGTGCTTTGTATGTTTCTTGTACCCTAATAGGTACCTCCTTTTTTTTAAGATTTTATTTATTTATTTATTTATTATGTATACAACATTCTGCTTCCATGTATATCTGCACACCAGAAGATGGCACCAGATCTCATAACGGATGGTTGTTAGCCACCATGTGGTTGCTGGGAATTGAACTCAGGACCTCTGGAAGAGCAGTCAGTGCTCTTAACCTCTG